TCCAGTGCTTGGCAAACCTTTCAGGGAAGAAATTTTTCCTAATATCCAATCTAAACCTTGCCTGGTGCAAGCTGAGGCATTTTCTCTCACACTGTTGCTTCTTACCCAGAACTGGCCCCTACCTTACTGCAGCCTTTTTTAGGGAGTTTTAGAGAGTGATAAGGTCTCCCTCAGCCTCCTTTTCTCCAGACTAAACAAGCTCAGCTCCCTCAGCTGTAAATTCTTGGCTGCCACTTCAGGATCTACTTGAAAGCCATCAGTGAATACCTGGTACTCAGAATCTCTGAGTGACACGGGCTGTTTCACACAGGCAGTGTCTTGGGCAAAAACTCTCATTTTGATGCATATAAAACTACAGCAGCAAAAACAAAAAATGAGGGAGGAGTGAGATGAATAAATGTCCCATCTGCTTGTATTGTCCACTTGAGCTGCTGTTGTCTGAGGTGACAGGAGGGAGGAGGGTGGAAAACAAACCACCACTGAAATGAAAAGTGCGAGAAGCATCTCAGTGGTAAGAAAAGCTGTGCTTTTTTCTTTTTCACATAATGGGAACTTCTGTGCAGCCTGAGAGTGTGCATTCCCCATTGCAGCAGAGCTCATGCTTAGGAGTTTATTTAGAGCTTTTATCTGATTACTGTTCCTAAGAGCAGATTTTAACCCTGCAGTTTAGTTAGCATTGAGGCTTACACCCAAACAGAAAGGGGGTTGTTAATATTTTTTTTTCTGCATTACCTGGCACCAAATCTTTAACTCCCAATGTAATGAATCCAGATTCTGTCCTCCCTAGTTGTTCAGCTGTGTATTTTAAGTCCTGTGCCATCCCCTGTACTATTCTACATTTGCACAAAGCCAAAGCAGGGCTCTTATAAGGCCTTAAAAAGCAGTTATCCCATGTAAATTCATAAGAGATGAACAAGATTCATTGAGCTGTCCTGAGTGTCATTCCTGTCTCGGTGTAAAAAGAAGCACCTTGCATAGCAGGATATTTTCAAATGGGTGCAGAAGGAGCCGTGGGAAGAGGGGATGGAAGAACAGAGCTACCAAGCTGTTTTCTTTTTCCTTGAGGAAGATAGGAGAGACTTGTGTGACATAATAGGTGCGAGAGATCGGATCCATTTCATGGAAGAGGATCTGGATGAAAAATTCTCTCATGGTTTTGCAATGAAACTCTCCACTGCCGCTGTAACACCTGTAATCTTCTCAGTGAGATTCTGAATATGAATTACTTGTCATCCCTTTTTGTAATGCTTATTTTTCTGAAAGTGAAGATAGAAACATCTTTTAATGTGTTTCTAAAGTTTAAAAGGAAGGACCTCTGCGCTGATCTAATTTTCTGAAAGCCCCTTATTGTGATCTACCACTCGCTTTTGTGGAGCAACTAGCTGTCATTTAGCTTGATGTAGCTAATTTACTTATATCAATTAATTGGATAATGAGCCACAGGCAGGCTTTTGGTATCTGAAAACTACTACCTTCATTTTGATGTTTACTGCAGGAGAAAATAGAATATAAAATTTCCCCAAATATTCTAAAAACATATATCTATTTTAATAAAATTAAATTGCCAATTAAATGTTATTTGTCTTTGCTGTTCAGTATTATGTTCAAATCAATTTTTACATTCTTATTCATTTGTTTGTACTGCATAAGGATATTCTCATGTCTTAAAATGGTGGGATCACTCATGATGCCTGTGCATTTGCACCTGATCCTTGAATTGTGTAGCATTTACTGGTAGTTCTGTGGATGATATGTGGTGGGCAATTTCAAACTAGATTGATAATCATAAAGCTAGTTTGCTGTAATTTCATTCCTTGATCTAACAGATAAAAGAAATGAAACTCATGATATTCTAGCTACTGCTAAGGATGGCTGGCTGGTTTTTTTTGTGGCTTGGTAAGGTATTTATAACATAGCTTAAAATATTTTGAGATTAAAGGTGCTACACCAACTAAAGGGTACATTAAGCAATATATGTTCTAAATTCAGACCTTATCCAGCACTTAAAAATAAATGCAAAGAAAATACTTTGGAAAGGTATTAAACATTTAACAGCCTTAAAAATATTTTTTTAATAACCTTACAAGAGAGGCCTTTAGCTTAGCTTCTATGCAGTGGTAATGTTCTTCTTCAGATTTTCATATATACTGATAATAACATCAAAGCACCTTTAAAGTTCAGCTTATGAAGCATTTGGGGAACTTTTTTATTAGGTCTGGTACTTATAGTTTTGTTATTGGTTAGAATTATTACTTGTTTGACTTGTACCTGCCTTCTCCTTATGCTCCCACCTAGGAATATCAGTAAGTTTAGTCAAACTAAACTCAACTGACTTTGACAAGATACATCTTTCAGCAGTAGTCCAGGATCTCTGGATTTTTCACACCGGGGAAGGACTTCCAGGGTGACTCGAGTTCAGGTCCTTTGTATCTCCAAGATACTTTCTCTGTGAGCTGATGATGTCAAAATATATGAGTTATTTTATATACTCTCATTAATTTCTATGAGTCTGAAATATCACACTTCCTATGCAGAAGTGCTGGATCTGTAACTTCTGTGTTTGTCTTCATGACAGGTCTCTTTTTGATGCACAGTTCAAATATATGCCTAGAGCAAATAAACACACATCTAAAGAAGCTGGTTTTTTTTCCATATTTATATTGTTCTTATTTATTTCAAACAATGTAAATCTTACTTTTCCTTATCGGGAAAAGTGAGAATTTTTACATTAGCCCTAAGCTAGACCTTGAGTATTAAGGGTGAATCTTTTAAGGTTTTAATATGCATTAATATGCATTTTCCAACAATCAGTTGAAACTCCGAGGGTGCATTTTGTGCTGGCCTGGAGCACATTCCTGAGGGCTCATTATCTTGTCAAAGCTTGAAAGATACGGACCCTGCAGGGGTGATGTTGTTACTCAGTGGGTTAATATGGAGTTAGATTTTTTTGCATGGTGTTAGGAAGGAAGGGCTACAATAGATACAGATGGAAATGAAAATGCAAGACCTTGGTTCTAAATCTGTTTTGGAAAAATTGGATTTGTTGCTCTTCAGCTTTCCTTCTGAAAACTCTCTTGTGACTTTATTGTCAGCTGAAGTGTTTATTGACTGAGAAGTGCTTGCATTTTAGTGATGGATACAGTGATCCTAGTAAACACTTTGGGGCTTTCGTGATGCAATATGCTGTGTAAGTGCTTGTGTTGTTTTATGATGGAGTGGGCAGAAGCTTATTTAAATAAAAAGTAGAATAAAACCCACATGGTTTCAGCAGCCATTAGTTTCATTAAAGCTAGTACAAAGATAAGAGTTAAATGATTTGTGGATATATACAAATGTCTTAAAGTATAAAAGCAACATAGAATCCAATGTCATTATTGCTGGGAGAAGTGCCAGCATTTTCATTATTTTTAATGACTTCCAAACTGGGCCCTTAGTGCCTGATGAGGTAAGCAATTTCAGATGGGAAATGTGATATACCCAGTACTGGAACGTGCTGAACACTCTCCGTTGTTAGTGGCTGTGGCTGTGCTGAGGATACTGTAAGAGGCAGCAGACAATTTGTAGGTTGAAGGTTACTTCTTTAGAAAGGGAAAGAGGAAATTTTTTCTAGGTTACTGAATAAAATAGAACAATCTGTATGATAAAAATTGTATGTAATGACACTGCTCATGAAAAAACATTCATCACTGAAGAAAGGTAGATACTAAAGAAAGCAGTCTTTGGATTCATCCCAATATTAAAAAAAAAAAAAAAAAAAGCACCAAACAAAACCTTCAGTAACTGTTTCTGTTTATTGGAAAAGATAAGCGTCTCGTGGAGATATGGAGGTCGTTAATAATGGAGTGGCTGCTGTGAGAGGCACTTACCTCAGAGGCAGGCGGCCTGCGGTTCCCATGTGCCCCATGTCCCCCTTCAGCACTGCCCCGAGAGCTGTGTCCCTCAGAAATCCCTCCAGCACTCATCTTGCCTCCTGCTAGGGAGGCTGTGCTTTGGTCCCTCCTGGGTAGGAGGGAGTTTGCAGAAGTAGCTTCCCAAGCAGGGAGGATCCCAGCTGGGAACACCCCTGACTGCCCTTGGGGCTGCCTGGGCTTTGAGCAAGATGTGCGAGCCAGGAGTACTGAACAGTAAATCAGGGAGACCACGAATGCTGGAAGCGTTTTAATGGTAAAAAAAGGACTTTTTTGGAACCTGGGCTTCTTTTCTTTCACTCTGGCACATATTTTTTGTATGTAGAACGGGAGGCTGGGCTATCCCTTGTCCCCATCTGCCCCAGGCAGAGAGTCTAGTCATCTGCTGGCAAGCCTGGGCACGTGGCATCCCTTACCGTCCCTTCTGGTTGGGTGTACCTGCAGAGAAATGGATCCTATTGTGCCAAATATGTTAAATATGAAAGTATTTTCAGTTTTTTAAAGTTGCCTATTGAGACTTCAGGCAATGAAAGATATTGCTTGGTCCAGAGCAGGGAAGTTGCACAGTGCCACTTGTGTGATGAAGAAATGTCTGCTCTAAAAGTTAAAATTATTGGAAAGATGACCATGCAATAGTGAACAAACCCACAAATCTGGCAAATCTGAAGCAAACACAAAGTAAGGTTCTTTTTATTTTCTTTGTTATTTTTTTCTTTTTTAAAAATTTTTAAATGATGGAGCCTGCTGCAATGTGATACTTTGAAAGCTAAAAATATAGCTAGTTTGTGAAGATATTAGGTAATTTCATAGAATATTAGTCAACTGATGGGTATTTAAAAAAAAGCTGATAGGCAGCCCCTATCTTATGAACCTCATAAATCACAGGTTGCAAATTTCAAGAAGGAAATCAGAGGAAGGCTCATGCTCTGTGTCTCTCTTCTGGTCCCTCCATTACTGATCACCACAGAAATGGGGCACAGTGGGGTGACCTCACCCCAGAGCCAACGCTGTATGCCTGCTCCTGTGGCCAAAGGTTATTTGCAGGGTCAAATGAAGATGTGAGAAGTTATTATTGTCTCATTTATATTTCAGCTGGGAGCCTTGCAGTCATAATCCGAGGCATTTGTGCCCTGGTGCTCCTGCCTGTTTTCAGGCACCCCAGATGTGATCCTAGGCCAGAGAAGTGAGGAGCATCTCTCAGCAGTCGAAGCAGGCTCTGCAGCTGAGCCACTGCACATGGAGCTGTGGCCAGTCCAAATTCAGGTGAGCACTCTACTGTATACATTTTCACCACCCTCGAGTGTAAGTTACTCTACACACATAGTAATGTCCATAATTAAAATGTTCCCTTGAAGTAAATAATTAAATGAGGATTACAGTTATGAGCCACAAAGTGACACAGGTGACAGGCTTACTTTAAGTAGGACAATTAAACTGCAAATTAAAACTAAACCTCTCCATGTAAGAAGAATATTGTGTTAGTTAATTAGCTAAGACTAATAGGTTAGGTGTGTATACTGTATCAAATAAATCCTAGAGATCTTTAGAAAACAGATTTTCTAATCTGTTTTTTTTTCTTTTTTTTGGTTACTGTGGTTTTTTTTTGTTAATTCCTGATTTAAATGAGAAATAAAAGTCCAAAGTTAATTTTTAATGTGTTTTTGGCAAAACTGATCATTTTACTGGAGAAGTTTGGTTTTCCTTAACAAATGCTGGGCTTTTTTTCTTTGTTTTTTTTTAACATAGTGCAAATGTTGAGTCCTTTAGGAGTGTTTGCTGGAGAGGTCTACACCTGAGCAGAGCATGGCTAGAAAGAGAATGTATCATCAGTGTCAGAAAGTTACAGCTTCTCACTTACAGAATGGGCAATATTAGTTCTTGTTATTAGTGCCTTTATGCAAACTCAAAGATTATTTACTACCAAATTACTGAATTCACTACATTTAATGTTTTTTTTTTTTAAAAAACAATTCTTGTGCCAGGTAAAAGACAAGTTTTATTTTATTCTGTTTTAAAAGAATTAATTTATTCTCTAGGTACAAAGTGATCCTAGATCTTGGCAGTCTCTAAATCAAAGAGTTATGAGCTGCACAAAATGTTCTCTAGACAGTACAAACATGTTTTTGCTCTTTTTTCCTTTTTTTTAAGCAGATGAGTGTTGTAGAAAATACTAGTAGTAAACAACATTTTGGAAAAAATACCCTCTTGTGCCAGTCCAAATTCAAAAAACCTTTTTTGAAAAAAAGTCCTGATTTTTGGAAAAAGAGAATATTTGTTTCCCAAGAAAACAGTGTTTGAAAAACACTTTAAATTGATACTACATCTAGAAGTAAAAAAAAAGGGTTTTTAAAAATAAAAAATAATGAATAAAATTAAGTTTAAATTAACTTTAGATAAAGTATATTTTTAGAAATCAATTTCAGGAGTTCTGGAGCCAATCTTTGAGCACTTTTAGTACTAACTTTATCGCCCCTTTTAGAGTTACAGATATTTTTGGCTTTGCCCAAGGGAGTAAGGCAGCAGGCATTGCAGGGTGCAGTGGGGTGTGTTCATGGCAGGATTTACCCATTCCTCACCTGTCCCTCGGTCTGACTTAGTTCATGGAGTTATTTTGTGGGTCTGGATGTTCTGAGCAGGTGAAGGCTCCGTGTCCCGCCGGGATCACCCTGCTCCTGGGCAGGCACAGCCTGGTCACGCCGGGCTCTGGCTCCTGCTGGGCTGCTCTGCTGCTCTCACTGATCACAAGTGCACGAGAATTATGTTATCTAATGCCTGGATAGCTCCTTGTGGTGTGCTACACTTGCACAGAGCGGGATTTTTATTAAAAGTTTTGTTAAAGTAGATAATCAGAAATTCTGATTCAAAAGTCCAAATCCGAATTAGAGTACTGGGTAGAGTATTTCTGTATCCTTTGTTAATCTGACAGTTTAAACCATGCCAGACTGCTGAAGCAGAGCATCAAAATGCCTCAAAATATTTTAATACTTTTCATTTTTTACTAAATCACTTTCTGCAATAATTTTTAAACTCTGCTTCTTATCTTGCGTTTTAACCACTTTATTATGAGAAACACGAAACTAATTTTGACATCTTTGTTACTCAATTCAGAGAGAAAGGAATAGTTCTTGCTTTGATGTACGATCTTAAAGCTGGAACAATTTAAATCACTTTTTAGCTATTGTACTTCGTTTAGTAAAATATTTAGTGCCATTATGATAGTGTAAACCATTAGACTGCAATTACACTAACACAGCACAGAGCCTAATAGTTCTGTTGGAACACAACAGTGATGCATGATTGCTCCATTAGGATCAGAAATCATGGAGAACTAAGGTTATTAAAAAATGAATCATGGTTACAGTCTTGATTTTGTTAGATTGTAATAAAAATATCTTATTTATGGATCTAACTACTACTGTGTCAACCTCTTAATGAAGTATTAAAAAAACCTGTAAGAACTAGTAAGGATTCTTTGGATTATGGTTATGAAGTTTTTTGCTTTGCTGCAGCTGGAATTCCAGAACCTCATCTGTATTTCCCCAAAAGTGCTTTTCAGGCAGGCTGTACTGCAGCATCTTTCCAGGACGTAAATTGGACTGTTTTTACAGGTATTTTTGAGACCAGTGTTTTAAAGATTGTGAAAAGCTTTAGTTCATGTTATTGTCTAAATATTCTTTTTCAAAAATGCTCAAATGTACAGCCAATATATTCCCATCATTTCAAAGACAAGTATAGATGAAAGCGAGGAGGCAGTACTTTCTTTTTGCTACCTTGCTTAGCTTTGAAAGCATTTAATAAGAGAGTTTATAGACACAGAGAGGTTTTCTCAGCAGCAGGGAAATAAGAAGCATTTTGAAAATGAAATGGAGATAGTAAGATTTTTCAAAATGAGATCAGGCATCTAGAGCTGCATTAACACTGGTAGTGACATCTAACTAATAAAACTGATTTCATTTGAAATTACTGGCATTCTTTTACATTTGGGCATGTGGATGTCAGCAGCACATCTGAGACTGCAAAAAGACTGAGCTAGTCACCACTGAGATCTGTTGGGTCTTTCACATTTGAAAGTTCAAGTCAGTGGAAGTAAGCTTTAATCTTAGACTGATTAAATATTGTTTAACCTGCATTCTCTGAAATAAAACATATAGAATATGTGAACTGTCTGCATCTGGAAGGAACCCTGTGCTTAAGTTTATGTGAATTATGGTTTTGTTTATTAGTGAATAGGAATTAAAAAATGTGTAAGCATAGTTTAAAACACTCTATTCATGAGAAAGAGGGTGCATTTTAATACAGAATTAACAAGTATGACTCAATGATTATTAGGCATTGCTTTAAAAATGATACAATTTAGATAAGGCAGTTAAAATAAGACATTAAAGTGTCTTAAGGTTGTATATGCTTTGAATTTTGTCCATTAGCTTGACAGAAATATGTAAGAAATTAATTTGAATGAACTGTGATGTAGAAGTGACCTAGACCCTGTTAAGGGTACTCGGGAATGGAGGGATCTTTGAAATAATGCAGAAATGTGCATGAACCTCTAACATTCAGGGTCGTGTCACAGTCCCTGGATTTGGACCAGCAGCTGGACACACCCACCAAATTCCTGTGTGCCTGGGGCTGTGCTGGCTGCCATAGAGGACAGTCCTATGGTTGATAATCTGCTCCAGTAACCAGTTCCTTAATAGCTGCCAGGAAAAGAAAAGTAATTTGAAATTTGGCAGCACTGAAGGAAACTGCTTCAAAAAGCTGCAAGTCTCCTCCTTACCAAATTATACCTAAAGAATCCCAGGCAGAGTACCTCAGCATATGCAATACAGACTCGTGATCTTTTCTGTGTGATTTAGAGGCAAGATCTTCCCTCTTATTTAAGATATTTTCTAACAAGATTTACCTGCCATTGTGCGATTGTCTCTCATCTAGATAATGTGGGAAAATTGCTAAAATGAAGCAACAGAAGTGCTGTATAAAGTACTTTGTTGTGTATTAGCAAAAGTGTATGTAAAAGAGTCCTGTATAGCCTTTTAGGGCAAATCTGGTTCCTCCTCTGTACCCTGCAGAAGCACTGATAACTTTAAGTGAAGTTTGGAGTGAATCTGTACATTGGCAAATGACTTTAGCTGTCTGTGCCTTGGCTTTGATCGGATCCTCTGGCTGTTGTTCACTGTGGCTACTTCTTGTTTTCGAAGCTCTTCCCATATTTTATTGTTTAAAATGAACTCTGCCTTTGAATATTGTAGCTTGATTTTGTTGTTTTGTTTTGTGATACTCTTGCAAGGTTTCTTTGCCTTATTTTCTAGAGGAATGAGGCGAATATAGTGTCTCCAGGGCACTCAGTAACTGTTGTGTGCTGTTGCTGAATTTCAGCTGCATTTGATGGCATGAGACATGTGGGATCCTTCCCAGGCTGTGCACCACACAGATATCCACCTGTGTCCCTGGGGTGCACCCATGGGCCTTGCTGATGTCTTGTACTGGAAGAGCTAATCTTAGCACCCTCTTTCTTGATTACACTTCAATGTAGTTAGTTAGGATTTTTAAATTCTTTTTGTTTTTTCTCAGATATCAGCTGTCAGAAACACACATAAGTCTCATGAAACAGGTGCCGTATTTGAACTGATTTAAATGAAGAAGGGAGAGACATTTGGTATATATTAATTGGGAGGCAGTCTGAGTCAGGAGAGCAGACAAAATGGAAAAAACTATGAATTTGAAAGTGCCCAACAAATGGGATTTTTGGGGGGCCTCCTTTGTTTGTTGGTTTTTTTTTAGGCAATGTAGATACTTGATTCTTTGATTCTGTGGAGCCCTTCAAAAGGCTGTGCCCTCTGTCTCATTAACTGATAGGAGCATTTGTTAACTGATAATGTGGCACCTTTCAGTTATTATCTTTTTCATCACTATTCTATTTTTGGATTCCTTCTGTCTTCTAATATTTCAAAGAAGCAAAACTTATAACACAGGAAATAAACATGGAGTTGTTTTTGTCCAAGGAACGTAGTTTGCACAAAGCTTACCTTGAAGCATTGAACATGACGTGAATACAGGACTACAAGCCCATTGTAAATGATATCTTGGTTTTATGACAACTATATTACAGTTTCCTAATCTATGGACCTACATTACAGGAAATATTTGTAGATAAAACTTCATGGATGATGATAAAGTAAGGAAAATGTTCCTTTATTCTCTGATGATGCTGAAATCTAAAAAAAATATTATTGCCTACATGAAAAAACAGGAAAAAACTGCTATTATACTAGCTGGTACATTTCTGCACATTATTCACTGCGGTTTTTTGTTTATTATGACTGAAAGGGGAACTTTGACATCGGAAAGAAGAATTCATTGTTTTCAGACAGCAAGAGGGCTACGGATTGCATCAGCCTCTTTCCCCCTTGTGACTTTTCTTCGTTTGTGAGCTAAATCCTCTGGTATTTGTGTGCTCAGAGTTTTACATGGAGCACTTCAACACAATGTGCCTGCTTGGGGGAGTGGGAGGAATGGCACACTTTTAACAAGTGTCCTTGAGGCAGAGAACAACAGCAAGGCACATTGCCATGCATCATCCTTTATTTATGCATATGGAGTGCAAGGTAACCCACACTGGGGTCTGCTGTGGGAGAAGGAACAGCAGTGTCACAGAGCTCTGGAAGTTCAATAAAAGCAGTGAAGGATGTGTCGCTTCTCTGTATCTGCTCTGCATAATGGCAGCTCTGGTTTTTACAGCGCTTGGACGCTTGGTTGTCCTGGGATTTAGTGAAGGACATGCAAAACCAGTGCATTTGCTGTGCATACTTCATGCTGATTGTCTGGAAATGGAGCAAGTCAGAAAGAAATGTAGCTTTTGGGATCATTAAAAATCCATTTTCATTAAAAGCCATGTATTGCAGCGACATATTTATACATTCATCCCCTGTCTGCCTATGTCTTACAGATAGAGTGAAAAAATAGGCTTTTCATAACAATTTTAAAGCCTAAATGAAAGAAAAGCATTCTATTTACCTTGAATTACTTACATGCTGCACTTGTTTGGCTTTTTTCATGCTATGGTGAACGGCAACTATTCTGCATTCTTTCTTTACCTCCAGTTCCTTTTGTTCAATCTATCTATCATTTGTTTTTATCTATATCTTCCTCCTATCTATTTCCTCTTTGTGTTTAGAGTTGGTTGCAAATTGTATTTGTGATGCAGGGAGCTTACAATCTGACTGTCTTGATATTATTTTATGCAACCATGACTACCGTAAAAATTGGCTTTACCGCCTGTTTTGTGTTATTGATTCAAGCCCATTTCAGAATTAACTTGTTTGGAATGATCTGGCAATGTTGTGTGCCCTAGGTTCTCTCAGGAAAAATTCATCTCTCATAACTAAATGCAATAAAATGTTCAAATATATCTAAACACAGTTATATTTTGAATTTAGATGAAAACCTTATGGAGTCAATCAAATATACAAGGCATGTGCAAGTTTTAGTTCTAGACTTACAAGTACAGTATTGCAGAAAAAAAGTATTCAGAGACCAGCTTTTTCCTAGAGATCTGTCCCTTATGTAGGCTTTATGAAATTCCTAATCACATCATTCATGTTTCTATCCTGAATTGGTTGGACATAATTTTGACATTTTGACTGTAGAACTGTATCTGTAATTTGAGATTATTGCCTAAATTCTTTTAGGGATTTGATGTTTCAGGTCTTAGTTTTACATTTGTCCTCACGGTTAGGTAGAAATATTTGTGTGCTCATAGTCAGTGGAAAGTAATCTACAAAAAGAAATATTCCCTTGTTAATGGCTTGACTGGTCAAGTTTGAACTTTCACATACAAATGGAGAAAATTAGATGCTGGTATAAACAGGAAAATTTAGAATGTGGATTTATTGCAATGTTAAAATATCCAGGTGTTAGAAATTGTTCACTGACATCAAATGCTAGTCCTGACTGTCTTTAACTGACTCGTAAAACCAGTTAAAAAATAAAAAAGTTCATCTCCAATCAGAGGTTTTTTTCCCAGGTACACAAAAATGGGAAGTAAACTTCTAATGACCTAATAATTTTAGCTTTTCTATTTTGTTGCCATCAAGACTGCCTGGATAAGAACTGCCCCTCCTGAGTTGCAGAGTTCAGGTTTGCTGCTGTCCCTGGCTGCTGACAGAACCAGGAGCTTCTGGCACCTGTGCAGCCCTGCCCAGCCTCCCTGCACAGGGTGTCCCAGTGTGCCCTGGGAGCAATCCAGCTTTTTTTTGGCTGGTGGAAAACACTGTATTCCAGCTTTGAAATGTTTTGGTGGCCCTGGAACTGGAATACAAATTCTTCTTTTCTTTCTCTTCATGTTTTTTTTCCCTGACTGGTGTATCTTAGTTTTTCACTTCTCTTCTTGTCTTTCAGAGTACAGAGCCTTTCTTGAGTGTGTATTTTAAATGTGTGGAGAGGAAAAAGCTACCCAGGTGAGTAAACAACAGATGCAAGTCTATCCTGAGAGGAATGCAGTATGGATAAAGAACTATTATAATTCCTCCCACATTTGTGTTTCCATCTACTTATGAGATATATACGTGTGCCTTGTTAGCAATGATGTTATAATGCAAAAGCTAAAGTTTTCATATCAGAGGAAACATATATTGTTAAATGAGCTGAGAAACACTCTCCCAAGGGTTAGCATTTCTCTTGTATGTGTGAAATCCTACTGAAACAAATGGCCCTATTATTTTAATTGGATCTTTTGGTATTAGAACATTTTTCTTTGTACTGTAGTAAAGAACTTTCTTTTTCTTTTTTTCCTGAAAATGGGAAATGAACAAAAGCAGTGGATGGATTTAAACATTTATGACTTCAGCAGTAGATTATATCAATATAAATAGATGCAGATACACATATATGACTTAAATTCATATTTTATTATGCATTCCTCCATTCTCTCTGAAAATCTAGGGTTTCCACTGTTAAAATAAGTATGATTAAAATTTTGCCTTGTCCTTTTGATTGATATCTTATTTGCAATGCTAATAATGGCAGAGGCACGTAAAAAAAATCCAAACCAACCAAAAACTACATGAAAAAGTTACTATTTTTCAGCAAAATCTAGTAAAAAAATTGAAAAATGGTTGTATCCGTTTAATAAGTGAATTTCTACTTGGGAACTGACTCTCCTTACAGTCATGAAAAGATTCAGTTCTTGAGCTACTCTGTGCTTAATTTGCTTCTGTGAGTGAGGGATTATGCAATATAATGGGTTAAACTTCTACAGACCACTCTAATTTGTTTTGTAGAAGATCAGAGAAGGAAGGGAGGAACTCTGTTTATCATGTTGTGATCGAAAGCACAATACAGTAGAAATTTTCTGTGAACATAGTCTTGAAAACTAATTTGTTGGATGTTTGTTTCCTCTCTTTTCTGCAGCTGTTCAATTACAGACTGTTACTGCTGGTCAGAAAACCAAATATCTATTCTCTAGGGTAGCTACATTGTACTCCAATGTTTGAAGATTTTTTCTGTTATAATTGGACTGAAATATTGTGGGTTTTTTTTAAAAAGGAATTCTCTCATGCCTCCATCTGAATACTAGTTGCACATGGTCATGTATGTATGCACTGTGTTTAATATATGCATACAGTGATAATATAAACCTGAAAACAAAATTAATTGCACTTATGGAGGCAAAACAATTTCTAATCATGCAGAAAAGATCAAGGAATAATGTGCTAAGAGCAATGAAAAAAATTAAGAAGTCCTAGGGTTAGTATTAATTTAATTTTCTTGTTTGCTTTTTACCAAGTCTGTGCATATGCCCTTTACAAGGACAAATAAGCTTTGAGAGAAACCCACTTATAGACTGACTAATAACCAAAACGTGGGTAAACTGCCCTTTTAGAAGTCACCAGATATTGCTGCAGAGCCCCTCACTGAGGGAGAATGCTGTGGGGCCATGCGTGGGACAAGGACTGCTCAGCTCAGCCTTGGCAGCTGTAATGTGGGATGCCTTGGGCCATGGGGACTGGCCTCTCCCATGTGCAGCTTGCAGTGGGTGGCTGGCTTCAGCTGCTGTCTCACACATGTGCAGCTAGAGATGGATCGCTCATCTGTTTGTTACCTCAGAGAAGAAACTACAGCTGCAGTGACAAGCATGGAGTTGTCTCTTTTCGGTGCTTCTCCTGCAGCGGAAATGATGGATTTTGTTTTTCATCCCTTCACACAGAATGATCTGCTATTTTGAGCAAATTAATGAGATAACTTGCTACTTACAAAGTAGGTCAGAGCTGCTGGAGCGTAAATTGCAGTAGCTTTTTGGGAATTAGTGCTGCTTTCCCCGTCCTCCTCCCTGGCAGGCTGTGGCAGCATGTGCCAGCCTCCTGTTGGGTGCTGCTGTCCCGGGTGCCGAGTGCTGCCCGGCTGGAGCCTGGCGCTGCAGGGCACTGGGGGCACGCAGCACCTGAGCCTTGGCACAGCCCTCGGCGTCTGCAGCTGTTTCCATGGCAACACACGTCTTACAAAATAAATATTTGCTCCGCTTCCACAATTGTCGTTATGCTAAGAATTAATTGATGGTAATGTTTTGTCCCCTCGTGCTTGAGAGCGTCTTAGAAATAACTGAGTGGTGTTTATAGGACCAAACAGCATCTGAGGCCATTGCAGCTGGCTGTGTCCTGCCATGGATTTGGGCTGAGAGCAGGAGCTGGTAAAACCTCTCTGGTTTTGGTTGGAAGGCAGGTCAGATCCTGTTCTGCTCTGGAGAGCAGCTGTGCTGATGGGTCTGGGAGCAGCAGTATGGCTGGTGGAGGGCAGGGCAGGAAGGGGCTGTGGGATGGGCACAGCTTTAGGTGGTGCTTTGCTGACATCCTCTGCCCAGCATTCCTGTCTCTCAGGTGTCCTCCAAACACATACTGCCACCCCAAGTTGCACAGCGACCATGTCAGCCCTTAGAAATTAAATCCCAAGTGTGGAGATGTACTGTGGTAATCCTGTAAAAGTGAGTACAGTACTCTTGGATATATGGATGCAATTTTAGGCTATTGTGAAATAGATAGAAATGGATAATTGTGTAAAATATAATTATTTTTTAACAGTGCCTGCTCATTTCAGTGTTTAAGGCTATAAATTCTGATTTTTAAAAAAACAGTTACTTCAAAAATGATTGGAATTGAACCAATGTTACAAACATTCAGATTCATAAATATTTTTGGATTGTATTTGTTTAGTTTTCGTAATAGAGGAAAGTTTTCCTGTAGGAGGAAATTTTTGGCTGCTTGTTACTGGTTTTCTTTTTGAGGTGTAAGCTGGTGTGAATAAAGACTTGTAGAAAACAGGCCAGAAGTTCTGCCATGGCAGCATTAGCGACTGCAGGAACTACTGTTACACAGCATATTATTAGCTCAGCTGTATTCTCTTGTCTTGATCTATTCTGCCAGCAGGACACACTGATTTTGTCCCAAGCCAAAATGTGGGGCTTTTTCTGCTCTGCTTGGATTGGATTACACTATTCCTATCAGTATGGCATCAGTGTACCATAAACACCATGACTGACAGCTGTCTTTTCTCATGGTAAGTGAAACTGATGTTTGTCACCAGTGTAAATCAGGGACCAAACACAATTACCAGCACAAGACCTTTTGAGAGAGCAGCAGTTGTTGCACCCCATCCAAAGCAGGGATTATTGAAATGTTTGAGTCCTTGTTTAATCATGGTTCATCATTCAGCACTATGACAAGTTGCTTATCTGTTAATTCAGAGTGACACAGCACAAGAGCAGCTCTAGAACAAAACTTAAAACCTAGGGGACCAGGAATAGTTGAGCTGACTCTTGCTGCTGAATGGGCAGCAAGCTGAATGTGTATTTTGCTTCTAGTCCAAGGGAAGGAAAACATGGAGAAAGAATTAGTGACAGTAGAAAATTAGGCCCATTTTAAAGAATTTGGGCTTTACACTCCATGTGTGTTTACACTGAATAGGTGATTTATGTAAAGGTCAAAGTAAAAGGTTGCTTTCTCCCTTCCTCCTCCTCTTTTTTTATTTTTATTTTTTTAATAACTTGGAATCACATTTAATGATAAGGAATAACTGAGGAGTTCTCACTGCATGACTTTTCATGGAAACACTGTAGATCTTGTAAAAGAAAGAGGAATTTGGCAGGAGGAGAATAGCTCTCTGTCTTCGGTAGTTCCAGTGTTCATACTGTGCAAACACTTTCTGAAGGTGGTCTGAGGCATTCTTGTAATTTGATGTACACAATGAGCTGAATGAATACCCACCAGCTGAAGAAGGTAAATGAAAAGGGCACAGATCTGTTTGATAATCATTAATTTGCTTAATGTCACTGTTCTGCCTTTAAATTTGTTCCAGAAGAAATTTTCAATTACACTGGTATTGCTGCAAGGAGTAGGTTTAGAGAAGTATTTTAATTGATGAACTGCCTAATGTGCATCTTTTGCTCTTGTTTTTGCATATCATATGTTTTATATAGGCTGAACTATAACTAACAACAACTGTGCTTGATCTGAGAGGCCTTTTTGTGGAAGGTTGGAACAAGCCTGAAGAATGCTATACAATTAGACTGGTAGATCAATACGTTGATATATAATATAATGAGATGACACAATGTTAATCTTGGTAGAGCCCAAACATGGCTTTTTAAAAACCTAATGGTTCTATCAACTGAACAAAGGAGTTTTTCATAAAAGAATTAGTCTGCAATTTGTATTGTTAGTCTAACCACTAGAGAAAAACAATGCCACATACCTTAGCTAGTAGTCATTCTTGAATATTGACTTCAATATCAATGAAGTTGGAGGGGTTTGTGGCCTTTTTTAATATTTGTGTTTAAATTTGGCAAATTGTGAAGAAAGGAATGGTTCTATCTTTTCAAGACTTATGAACATGAAGCATGGAGTCAAATGTGAGTATCAATAAAGAGTGATGACTGCCAGATGGGCACCAGGATAGTGATAGGAGCTGAGGGGCTGTACAATTTACTTTGCAAAATGAAGTGGACGTGAGGGGAGTAATGAATTCTTGTGACAAAGTGTTTAAGTTTTGAGACCACATTTGAAATCTGTCCTGCAAATATGCTCCTTCCAAAAAGTCTTTGAAAAATGACCAATGTTATATTCCAAGACCAGTTACAGAAATGACATTCTTCATTCTTTACATGTGTCCATGCTGGATTTTTCCTTGAGGCAGAATCTACATCCATCTTCCTTTTGATGGAGAATGTTGAAAGTTCACCTTATGAATAGCATAGGGACCAGATAAGGTCAGAACAGGAGGAGAGAGTGTACAGTAGGTTGTGTGTTGAATCAGGCCACAAAGTGCAAGTAGAAAGAAAACAAGCCCTAACACGGAGTAGTCTTGAGGGAGGGAGTGCCACTTTGGGTTATTACATCCAAGTGTGCCCAGACAACACAGCTGCTCTGGTGGGAGAGCTTGGGAAACCTCCACCCCACTCTCACGTGAGCCCAAACACATGAACTCACAGTGCACTTGGGCCCTGTTTCATCTATTGTTTGTAATGCAAAGGTGTCTTAAAATCCTCACAAACAAATCTGAAGAACTTCAGCTGTTTAAAGGCTGATTGAAAAACTGCTGGAACACCCAGAGGAACCACTGCAGCCACAAGTACTGTAATTACTGGGAGGGGTACCAGGCATTGAGCTGCACATGGCCAATATAAAATATATTATAAAGACAAATAGCTGTCTTTAACTTCTGGGGGCACAGGAACTGGCTGTGTATGTGCTGGTATACCCAGGTGTACCTTGCTGGATGCTCTCTGGCCAGTTCTGCAGGATCCTGGGAGAAGAGCTGGTGGGAGATGGTTATGCTGGGTGTCACCTACTGGCTGAGCTCCCCTGGTTCTGACTGGGCACAAATTCATTGTTTTGTGACCATTTAGGGATGAGGAGTTCAGAAGACTGAGAAAGGCACGCTGTGGTTAGGTGTGCACCCTGGCAGCAGGACATCGGAGACACACCTTACCTGAAATGCAAGGAAGGGGGAGCCCTGCAGGTTCATAAAATCTTCATTTCAATCTTAGACTATGAGATTTATAAACCAAGGCCTTCTTTTGTCAAACTTTTGTTAAATATTGGACTGGATGAATTGATGAACTTTACATAAATATTTTAAAAATAAATTGTTGAAATTTTGTGTAAAATTCACAAGGTGCACTTGCCTTGTCTCTTTTACAGTATTGCAGAGCTCAATTGCCTTGGTAAGGAATATTTAATCTATGTTTTCCTTTCATAGGAAAGTCTCTTCATTTGGCTTCTTTTCAGATTTTTAGTTCTGTCTGCTTGTTCATTGAATTTTGTTATTATTTTCATCTAATATCTGGATAGGAGACATGGTCAAAGAAAAGGAACAGAGAGAGAAAATGAGGTTGCTTGGGTGTATGTATAAGGTGACCTACAGAGCCAAATTCTGGAGCTTCTACAAAGCTGTGTATGGGCATTTGCTACTTGCTTTCTTCAAGTACACACTGGAAAATTAATAAAGAGTAAAGCGGCAGCTCCCATGGAAAGATTAGAAGAAACAAAGGTAATCCTTGAAAGGAAAACATTATTGACAATGGTATTTGAAATATGCATTAGATTTGCTTATTTATAAGTGTGTAAAGCAAACATGAGTTTTTGTGACTTCATTTGGATCTACACTTTCTTTTGGCTTATTTTCCTTTTAACATACGAACTAATAAGTACCTTCTTTCAAATGGGAGCCTCTAAACAATGGTAGATTTAGAGATGCACAAATTTACTCCAGAACATGGAATTTCTGTTCACTTTTGGTGATTCAGATTTCTGAATGAAGGATTCTCAGTCTTCTACTTTGAATTTCTACTTAAAATCGAGCCCTCTGTGAAATAATCTTTTTATACCCTGCATTTGTGCTTAGAAGCATATTCTAACCTATCACAGATGTAGTTAAGACAATAATTTCGGTTTAATGAACCAGACATCCCCTCCCCCAAAGCAGAATGGCACTATCATAAGGTTCATATTTTATGATATGCATAGGACTTGTTTTTAACTTGAAAGCACCTACTTACAAAAATCCTGTATCTTATTCAGTGGTGATTTTGTTCCATTGTGCGGTATCATTTTCCTCTTTCTTCCTTCTTTTGAACCCTTTTCCCCTCTTCCTCTTCTTTATTTCCTTTGTTCTATACCCCTTTTATATTTTGTACAGATTTCCCTCCCCTCTGACATTTTTATCATTTTGAGGCATAAAATAGGGCCTCTCTTCTCTGGCAGCTGCGACCCCATCCCCTGCTGCACCAAATTGACACTTCTGCAAGCAGCAGCTCTACTCAGTCACTCGAAGGCTGCTGCTTTCACAAGTGTTGATTTAGTGCAGCAGGGGATGATGTGCCAGCTGTAAAACTCAGACAATAATAATAATAATAGTAATGCTTGTGAAAAGTCTTATAATAAGAGGGAAAAATAAAAGGGTGTGGGGAGAAAAGGTGGGGAAGGTCCAGGTGGAGTGAGGAAGGGGAGCAGTGGTCCCTGTGGGGTGCTGGGATACTCGGCTGCCCAAGGAGCAGTGAGATGGGTAGGAGAGAGGACTATGAGCTAATTCTTCTCTTCCCCACTTTCTGTCCTTACAAGGAACTCCTGTGATTGTGTTTCTGTCAAACTGGGGTGTTATTTTGGGATGAAATCGTGGTACAAGTGGGTGAAGGACTTAAAATACAACTGAGAGAGTGAGGGGCACCTGTGCTGTAGAGTCACTTAATATTTGCAAATGCGACTTTTTGGATGACAAGATATCAAATCTTTTTATTCTTTAGGTGTATATTGCATGTCCCATAGAGGATGGGATTTTTTTAATATATACAAATAGCGTGTTGTTATTTAAAACACATAAATGGAGAGTTCTTTTTAAGTCAACCTTGATTTACCCCCAGTAATGTTCCTAGAGGAAATAGTTTACAACTACATTGTAGCTGAGTGTTTAATAACTTATTGGCAAGACAAAGTTGAAAAAAATATTGTAGGTTATATTTACTGGACACTTTTTTCTTTCTTTTTATTCTCAGCCACTAACTCAGCAATTCATTATTTCCATGACTCTGTTTAATTGTTCATCAGTGATCTTGGAGAAGTGAATGAAACACAGTATGTGCTAAATACTGATAGTGGTAATGGTACGCCAATGTATGAGAAGACAGAACAGTTTCAGATGGAGATGCAGAACATGTCAGTGGAGACTTGAAAAGTGTTAATATACGTGTGTAATAAATAGTATTTGCTTAAATCTAGTTACTCATAGCATTTCCCAGGTCTGCATAGAGAGAATGCAACTTTCCAAAGACTCTTGGGTAGCCTGTTTCTTTTAAGTTCATTTTAGATAGGGGTTTGTGTTTCTTTAAATCAATGGGAAATAAGGTCATATTTAAAACTGAGCATGTATTTGAAAGTGGTGGATTGAGGTTGTATTTGTCAGGTCTTGGGTAAAATTTCCACTGTTCTAAAAGCATCTCCTTTTTGGTATTTAGAGAGATGCTTTATAATAGGCTCTCACAGTGATCACCTTTGTAATCTTGTTCATCATATTAATTGAAGAAGGTCCTTTCTGATAACCTTTGGCTGTTCAAAACATGTTCATAAAGCATCAAAGACTGAAGAAACTTAGAAAAGACATAATAGATCATTCTGCCTGCTTTTTTTGCCAGTGTAGAATTATTTCATTGAGAACATTTTTTTAGTATTATGTCTACTTTAGTTTTTAAAATCCGAAGTGAAAGCTTCCATGTCTCTTCTTGGGAGACTATTTCACAGGCAAATACATCTCGCTGTCAGGAAGGCTTTCCTGATACTCTGTTGCACTTAAGCTTTTTTGTTACCTTATTTCTAGTCATGCCTTTTTTCCTTAATACCTTTTACACATGTTAAATATTTCTAGATTTTTTTCTTTTCCCTTAAGAAACTTCCTTCAGTCTACCAATATCTTTGGTTTTGAAAAACCCACCTAAGATCTGCTAGACTGATAACTACATTTACCATCAAACATATGACAGTCAGATGCTCACCACAGCATTTTCTTCGTGTTCTCTTTCTCAGGGTCCAAAGAACACAAGAGATTTCAGCTTTGAGAAATCTCATAAGCAGCCTAATTTCATCAGTGATTTGAGATAACTTCCTTTGCTGTCTTTCTAATTCTCAATGCACAGCTCTTATGGTCACTGTGAGTGAGGATCCCCAACTGGTACTTGGTTCTTAATTTCTCATCTCTTGCTGCTCTGCTTCACAGAAAGACTGCATTCTGCTTAGTCTTTGCACTTCTGCAACTTGCAAAAAAATCCATTTCATTCCTGTTAGATGCAGCTCTTGAGGTCAGAACTCAGAATATTTCCCAGGAAACAGAAGGCAAGAGAAAGGTGGTTGATCCTCTCCTTAAGTTTGAGGTTTGATTTGGAATTGGGTTGAATTTTAGCTTCTTATTCAGGAGAAATTGGGATATGTTCATGCAGAGAAATGCAGAGAGCTGTAGCAAGTTTTCAGGGGGCTTACTGGTATGGCCAGTCCTGTGTTTGCATAGTTCAGGGTTGCAGGAAGGGGTCCAGCCTGTGCCAGCTCAGAGAACAGGCAAGCCAGTGCATTCCTGGCACTGAGAGACAGGCTCTGCTTCTCTGCACATCCTTCCCCTGTGCAAGGAAGCAGCTGCAGTCTCCTGCTGCATGCTGGTGGGTATTGGTGCTACATAGACCAAGAACTGGAGGCAGCTGGAAAAATTTGCTTTCTTTTTAATGCAACTTTTTTATTATTATTAGTTATGAGTGTTCTGTCTTGCAGGAAAGGGGAAGAAATTGAAATAGCTTCCACAGCTTTCAACTGTCATTTGTAGCCTGGTTTTCTAAGGAAATGCTGTTTGTCTATCAAACTTCTCTAAATACTTTTGGACACACAGAATGTTTTCACAGCTGAGTTCAGTGTTTGTAGAGATCCCATCCCAAAGTGGCCTTGTGTGGTACTTTTGGGTGTCCTGGCTGACAAGCATGGTGTGCACCTCAGGGTAGCATGACTGGATAGCACTGGAGCAGCCCTGGAAGGCTTTGAGGAGACAATGTGGGGAAGGGCATGGATAGGGAGTTTGGTCACTTACCAGTGAGTCACAAGGCAGAAAGTATTGCTTTTCTGCTCAAAGTACTTGAGCCTTTCCTGAGGAGTTTTCAGACTGTTAGAACATTGTCTAATTGTTCTCCCAGAATCAATAGTTAAACTTGTATTGATTTCTGCTGACTTCACATGCTTAGGATTCCAGCTATACTATGGAACTTGAGATCTTGTTGTTTCACAGAGGCTTACCTGCCACAGCTGTCTAACGCTTCCTGAAATATTGAGGGCAGTTTCCCTGAAAAGTGTGCAGGGTGGAAACACCACTCCAGGTGTCCTGGTAGTCTTTGTAGGTGCTACTACCTGCCAGGCTGCAGTTTGTCCATCCATTTTACAGAGAAAGCCTGTGCCTGGTGTGCTCATTCACACTTATTCCCAGACCTGCACTTTAGAATGGCCACTTGCTGCTATCCTCCTTATTTTGACTATTCCAAGGCTGGAATGTATTTTTACTGGATATTTTAGCTGAGTTTTGCCTAAGATTATTTGACAAAGAGAATTGTGTGTTTTATTCCTTTTTATGTGTCTGATTTCTAGGTGCTGCTATGTATATTTTCTTCTTTACTTATACTTGCAATATTTTCTAAATTCACATCTTTTACAGCTCTTGACAACAAGATCTACTGCCTAAAACATATTAGTGCCTTTATATTTAATTGTAAAAAGATTACTTTCGAATGTATTTCTGAAACAGGTATAAAGAATAATGTTTACTAGTAAGTTTCCTTTAACTTCTTTTCATTGAGGAAAGGAGTAGAAAAGAGTAATGATATTGCACTTCTGCTGACTACTCTGCTTGACTGATTCACAGGGTATTTGCTCTTAACATGTTGTAGGAGTTAAAAAAAAAAGTGTCAAACTTTTTTTGGCACCCAGCTACAGTAGATCCTGTTAGAAGAAACATATGGCCTCACACTAACAGTGTTAAAGCACTGCTGAAGTATTGCATGCACGACATTGACAAATTTCCTCTAGGCTTTTTGTTTTCTGTGCTATTAAGCATTCAAAGTCCACTATTTCATTACCACTGATGATACAGAGAGCCTTATTGACATTCTATCCATCTGTTCATAACATGCATTATTAAATGTGAAGCAACTAGTAGGTAGGAGTGCACTTGCCAGCTGTACAACGAATTCTCAGTAGTTTGGTGCCCTCTGTAAATTTTCTAGTATTCTGCCAGTTTCTCAACACAATTTACAATGGGGATATTTTTTTTTTCATGTTTCACATTGTAAAGAGAAAAGTTGTTTCAAAAGAATTCTTTATTTTGTTATCCCGAATATGAAATCTTTAGATACAGTTTCAAAAAGCCCAAGAGTCTTTTAATATACAAAGCCTGTTGCTAATATCAGATCTCACTAACCATGGTTTCTGGCTTTTTTTCCTTGTTTTTTTTCTAGGAGCAAATCTGCTGCATTACTTATGAACAGGACAATGGGGCCCCAATGAGTCACCCTATTCATATATTTTTGGAACCCAGAGGAATTGGGTTCTATTGGGGACTATTTACAGATTATAACAGTTGGTAGTTGAATGTTTTATTTTCATTCCCAGTTGGTACAATATGTTCACAGCTGATGCTAATGGCTTGCCCATTTGATATCACATATGGTCCACTATTTGGGTCTCCTAAAGCTTTCTTTTGTGGTCAAGCTGCTTTAAAACTTGTGTATGCTTAGGTTTGTTCTGTCTGCTGGAAAGGTGAATATGAAACTGAAACTGGGCAGCGCTGGAGTAACTCAGCAGTTCTGTTGATAAAGATTCAAAGAATTTTGAATGTCTGAATGTCCCATAAAGAATATTTTTATATAAAATTGAATAAAAACAGATGTCTTACAACATCATGTAAAATTCTGAAAAAAGTATCCTTTCCTCTTTCTTTGTCTTTGAAGCTGTGATTGAGTTACCCTCCAATGTATGGATATGACTGAGCATCATCAGGACTGCTTTTGCTGCGTGTTCAGTTGTATTGGAAACCAATTTATACATAATTTTTATTGTTTAAGTCACAATTTGTATTTTTATTTGCATATGACTGTTCTGATAATGTTTTGTGAAAAGATCTAAGAAAGCAAATTAATTTTTCCTTTTGTTTCTAGAATAAGAGCATAGGAAAAGCAAACTAAAAGAATATGAGTGCACAAATTAAAATTACAAGCCTGTCCGAAGTTGTTCTCCTATGATACACAGTGTTTATACCAACTCTGAAACATAACTGATAAAGCCACAATCTCATAAAAAGGTTATTTCCAAAACTATTGCATTACCCTCTGAGAGCTAAAATTCTCATTTATTCGTAGGAGTAGATCATAATAGCTCTAATTCCCTGAGAAGTGGGCATTGTATGGTAATTAAGCAGGGTAGTACATTAATTGTCCTCCACTTCACCTCTAGATGTTTAACTCCTTATCTAGTCAACCAGCAAACAATAATGCTCACTTATTTGTGCCTTACAGTTCAAATAATTTTTTTAACTAGGTAATTTATTGGAAATAAAGCAGAATAAGCATATTCATGTGAAAGAGGTATTGAAATTGAGTTAGGTTACCATTATTTAATACCTTTAGGTGGTAGGATGTGGGTTTTATGGCTGTATTTTTCAGCCATGCAATTTTAGCTGAATAAGAGCAACGTGATTTTGCATGCAGGAATGTTTCTCTAACTAATGGGACATATTTAGCAGTTTTTGCCACATGGCTTCTTTCTGGTGGCCTCTCTTTCACCGATGCCTGTGAGGGAGAGCAGGTAGGTGTGTGCTGGAAGTGTTGCCTTTGCCTGGGACATCTGGCTTCTGGTGCTGGATTAGATGAGGCATCTGGTGGTAGGAGAGAGGCTCTGGCTTGTTTAGTTTCACGGGAAGTGGTGCATGTTGCTGGTTTAGAGTCAGTCCCTGGAAGGAGATTGAAATGGAACTGAAGTTGGAGGCTTTTTCAAGTGAATAAAGTCAATATTCGACCTGGAGTACTAGGGAAAGAAAAAACCCAACTAAACCCAATGTTTTTGCGAACAAAACTAATAGATGAGAAGTAAAATTCTGCCCTCTAGTATAAGCAGTTCCAGGGACTTTGAAAATGACAGTAAAACTTTAAAAAAAGGACTAAGGAAATAAAATTATTTATTAATGACCTCAAAAATGGACTGTCTGCCTGATGATGTGGTAAAAAGTATTTGTTAGACATGACTTGGTCAGAATTTGGTGAAATTTTGGGTACTCTGACTGTACCCAAGATAGTTAAAGAAATTAGTGATGTCTCTCCCAGGTTATTAAATAGAAATGGAAGATTGTGCAAGAAGAATTTGTATTTATTGGACACAAATTAAATTATATTCAGGAAAGGATATATTTCTCATAAGTAGCAGGACAAAGTGTTAGGAACTAGAAACAATACTGTTGAAAAATTATCTTTGGGGTCTTATAAATAAATCACAGGCCCACAAGATACCAGGAGCAGTAAATTGTTTGATTATGGGTATCTGTCAAAACAACAATGCTACAATGCAAAAATGGTCATAATTTGGATATCCTGTGACATAGGATATCATACAGCACATTCCTAGGAGTCCATACTCATCAGATTTAGGGTGGCTAAGCCTGGTCTGAGCACACTGTCCTAGTCTGGGCACAGTGCTGCAGCTGTGTCAGCAGCACTGGTACACAGCTGACTGTGGAAGGGAAGCAGGGTGCTGCAGGGACAGGGCTAGGGCTCATCGTGGAGATGGTGTGTCTTGTGCCTTCTTTAACAGCGTGCCACCATCTCCAGAGGCAATCACAGCATGTCCCTGCGTGCTGGACAGCATGTCCTTCCCTCTGCTGTGTTGATTCTGGCCTCACTGTGGCCTTGGGGCATTTGCTGCAAAATTGCAGGATGCTCATGTAAAGGTGGGTTTTGCAGTGTATTGTCTATGCCAAGGGAATCCTGGTGGAAAGAAGTGTTACACTGGTTCTAAGCTCTGACTAACAAGATAATTTCTGATTGGCGCATGGAGAATTATGTACTTCTGGGTGATTTTTTCCTCATTTGTTAATAATAATTTATTATTATTTAATAAATAATTTATTTTTTATTACAATCATCATTATCATAATTATTGTTATTGTATCATCCAAAACATGTGAGTGCTCCAGCAGAAGCATCTTCCTGCGGTGTGTCCCTTCTCTCTGGGCCGGTGCAGCTGGGGTGAGTGGCAGTGTTGGGCACTGCCCTGCCCTGGGGAGCTCCTGCCGAGCGCGTTCAGGCAGCCTGTGCTCCTGTGCCTCCTCAGCTAGAGGCTGGTACCCATCCCAGGCCAGTGATGAAGCTGTAGGTCAGACCCTTTCGAGAGCCACCAAAATACAGACCTCGCTCTCTTCCCAACAAATTATTTTCTTCCCAAAGCAATAAGATCTTTGTAGCTCTCCACTAAATATTCTTTCTTGTTTTGACAGAGGAAGAGCCTGAGGCTGGAGCTTGCCGAGAACACCATGTGGAAGTGGCTTGCTCAGCTGCTGCTGCTCAGCAGGGAAAATGAGGGGTGGGATGGACTTGATGAAGGCAGCTTCATCTGGAAAAACAGTTGATTAGAAAAATACCTTCAAATTGTAATTTATCAGCTCTAGCTATATTTTAGGGAGCCCTCACTCCTGAATGGGATTAAAGTACATATAGTGTTAAACCAGAGTCTTCTGCAACAATGTAAATGAGTTGTTAACATGGCACTTCATTGCAATAATAATTCAAAGCTACTAGCAGGCTTGATGGGTCTGCAATAAATGTTTTATTATTTAGGAAAAATATACTCTACAAGTTGCAATGTGCTATGCTCATTCATGCTGTAAATCAACAAAGATCAGCAGACTGAATAGGGAAAATGAAAAGCTTATTTAGGAACTGACACAAGCTTTCAGATGAGCAGGAATGGCTGAAGTTAACTGCATTCATTTTTCTTTACTTGTCACAGTTGCCACTTGAATTTCACTGCTAAAGATTGTGGGTAGTTTTGCTTTATGAAATTATATCTATGAAAACAGTATTTGCATTTATATAGGCTTAGTTATAATAAGGTTAAACCTAGCACACCCCCTTGCCTCCACAAACAAACAAATCAACCAGCCAACCAGAAACCTCTGTGTTAAATAATATTTATCTGTCAGTTTTCCTAGATCTGAACAGGATTCAGCTAAATGGTTCCCACCAGCTGCTTTAAAGGCCTGAACCTGTGACCATGTGAAATACAGGAATGCAGGGCTTTGGCCATCCCTTCAACTTCAGCTCTTCTCATGAGGATAAACCAAGGGTTTTCTTTAAAAATTATCTCCATGTGGGATGAGTTAAGGCACAGAGTGGGTGACCGGGGTGAGAGACTAGGAATTAATATGGTCCTCGTGGTATGGTTACAAAGTGACTGAAATGGGCTCCATTACCATCCTTTTGTGTTCCCTAGCACCTGAAGACCCTTTCTTGAATTTTGCAGCATGGAAAATGCAGATCCTGAATGCTGAACACTGGCTTGTCTTGAAAATGGTACATGTTTGAATGTGGAGTAAAAACCCTTGCAAACTCTATAGGCTGATGTTCTTAGAGAGATGTGACTTCTTTGGCTGATCCAGGGGAAGGAGAAACCAGGACAAGAAGACAAGTGAGTTAAGAAAACTCATCTCATGCCTCTGAGTAGGCTTGAAAAGGACAAGGTTTTTTAAGCCAGCTTCAGAAATTATTCCCCTGCCCTGACTTATGCCCCAGAAAAAAATGAAGAGAACATAAAACTACTTTTTAAAGGATTTTCCTAATGATGCTATGACCTGGTCATAGGTCTCCAAAGGGAAGAGCTGCTTTTTTTAGGGCAATTAACCTGCTCTCCTCTCAGCTCAGCAGAGACTGAGCATATGAGGAGAATGCTTCAGGATCAGACTGGCATGATTGTCCACAAGCCTCTGACTGTAACACTATCCTGAGAAAGTGGTTCATGGCTGGAGGAAACAGTAGGCAAAAAGCCTACAGTAGGCAAAAAGCTAGCAGGTTTCTGTTTAGTTTTGTGCCTGCTGGTGTGTGTGTACTTGAATGTGCATTTATATGAACATGAACATTTATGTGCGTATGTCTATACACAAATGAAGCAATTTTTGTTTCTCTGTAGTCATCTGCATATTTGTTCCGGTTTGTTGGGTGCTTGTGTCTGCCAGTGAATGGATGCTTTCCTTGGTTGTGGAGTTACTCATCCAAGTACAAGATTCTCTGACTATCTCAAATATCCATTCTCAGTAGGTCAGTTTGTGTGGCTTAAACATACCATGATTTTGTTGTGGTGCCCACTGTGCCTACAGGAGAGGAGCCTAATCTTGTAGCCAGCAAAACTGCCTCTGTGCTGAGAAGGCTGTTGGGACTAGAGCTTGAAATGATGGAAATTCAACAGTTTAGCTGCAGAGGTTGTTCCACTGGTTTGGTCTTGAATATGTTGGGTTGATCTGATGGCATCTCTGGTGTTGGCATCCCATGGCTAGAAGCAACCTCCTTGAGGCAGGCAGATGCTCTGCACTCCGGTGAGTGGTGGTGAGTTGGGTGTGTTCCTCCAGCCCCAGGACTGCTGGCAAGGCCCTGCTGCTGATGGGGTGCTGCTGGCTCCTGTGGCTGGACAGAGCTGATGCCTGGCCTTCACATCTTGCTGAAGAGGCTTCAGGACTCTTCCCCTGAATTCTCACTTTGAGTTTTAAGAATATACTTGATGTGTAAGAAATATTTGGAAGTGGTGTGTTACCTTCCTCTATTCATTTTGTCAACCAAGAAACTGAAATTACTTTTCCCCTTTGGAAATAATGAGTGGTTTGTTTGTGTGAATAGTACATGCAAAAGAAATTAATTTGGAGACCTGTCTTAGACTTATTTCAGATAGTTATCTGAAGCTATTGTCATCATAATCACTTAAAAAAGGCAAACATAAGCCAAAGACTCTAAAAAAGTCACTGAGATAATGCATAGTGAAAGGTTTTGGGTTTGCTTCACTGAGAAAAGTTTTGTTTCTTGAGCCAGCCATTTATATGCTTAGGAAAAGTCCAATTAAGATGACTGAATTTTAAGTGTCATAAAATAGAGAAGGCAGGGGACATTTAATTATAGCTGTGCTGCCAGGCACCAATAGAACAAAAGAAAAAATGTTCACCTAAAGCACAAAGTACTGCCTAATACATTTGCTGTAATAAAGAGACAATATATGGTCTAAACATACTCTTATAAATAGTTCAAAAAGCTCCACCTTCTGATTTCCATGAAGCTGCTTTTCCAATTATCAACATAGAAAAAGTAATATCGTTTTAATATTGAGACCTTCAACTCTGGTCACTGGTTGAAGAAGAAGAGTCATGCATTAAGACAAAAATGTTGCCTGTGAAAATAGGTTTGTGACCCAGAAGAATGCATAATTGATGTGTGTGGTTGTCTGAATGGTAGAATAACAATAGTAACCATTAGAGATGAGAGCTGGAAGTAGTCAGGCAGTGAGGCAGGATGTATTTTATAGGTCATCTGGGCTCCATTCAGATCTACAGGTTGCTATTCCTTCTCCATACTTGAAAGCATTTAATAGATCATTACAAAAGGAAAAGGATGGTATGCAATAATGGTTTAAATTGAAGCTCTGTATATATATCACCACTGTGCGACTTCTAAATGAATGCTTCATTTTTAAAATTCTCCCATGACATACTTGAAAGTTTGCCAGAGCATCAACGAATTAAAACAATGAATTGACCAGCAGCAAAAGGGAAAGACCCTGAATAGTACAGTACAAAGAGTTGTTCTCTTCTGGGGCATAGACAATAACAAGTAAGAAGTCCCCAAGAAAATTTCTTCCAAAGTTGTTGTCTGTCCTCTTCCAGGCAGATGAACTGGTTTTGTTCTCTTGTTCCATAATGTTAAAATAAGAAAAAAATACAGAATTTTGTTAAGAGGCTTAACTTTCAAACAGTCAAAGCCAAAAGCACATAATAGTGAAGTCAAATTCAGATTCCCTTCTTGCCTGGAAAATGCTTCTTTCGTATCAAAATTGATACAAGTTAAAGGGTGGAGAATCTTTTGTGCTTTGTTTCACATGAACATAAAAGTTTTATTCCTGCTTTTAATGGGTAGTATTTTACAAATGTAATAGAACATAATTTTACCAGGTTTCCCTAAGGGAAAGTCACGGCATGATTACATAGGCAGTCCCATCTCATTTAGTATAATGCTTACAATCTACATGCAAATATACTTACGTAACTCAGGTTAGAGGTAGATTGAACAGCGTTCAGATAATCATAGAGCAGTGCAGACACTGAAGAAAGTTTTGCAGGAGAAATATGCTTTGAATGACTGGTCCCTTGCAGCCACACGTGCCCCCAAGTTTTTCTTGGCAGAAGATTCAGACTGTGCCAGACGACCTGATGTGTACAATTTGCCACCTGAGGATGAAGGTTGAAGCTTGTCCCTGTTGATAACATATCCCAGCACGCAGTGACCGTGGTGGGTCAAGGGGATGGGGACCCTTGTGGCTCGCAGTGTTCCTAGCAGCAGGGACAGGAGCCACCTCTCACGGGCAGAGATCTTGCAGTGTCCCTCCATGTCCTGTCCCTGCCATGGACAGGCTCCATGGGCATGGAGGAGGTTTGAGCCACCTCATGTGGAAGCACAGGGTAACAGAGCTGGGAGTGTAAGGATGACACTGTGCTCTCCGAACTCCTTGCACGAGGAATTTTTCAGCTACAGATTAAATAAATCTTTCAATTGCGAATAATAATAATAATGATTTAACACAATGTAGTTCCTGCTGTAATTCTAGCACTTTTGGTATAAAAAGCAAGTAAAAATCTGTGTTGTAATCTAGTATGAAGGGTCTTGTATTTATGGGACTTGTAGGGGTGCTCTTTCTGGGGTGGCTTGTGCATTGGTGAAACAGAGATCTGTAAGAAAAATCTCTTTCTTATAGAGAATGATTGAATAAATTTAAAACATTTTACTAGCACATGTGAGATGGACATATTCTCTGTTTC